TGACTCTGTTGAAAACAAAAAAAGGACGGTATTGAAATCGTTTTTTAAGTTTTTGAAAAAAAAAATATAGCTTTTTTTTTTTTTTTTTTTGTAAAAACATTATCGGGTACAAAATGTCTCTTAGCTCACCTTCAGTCTTCAATCAGCCACATCCGACGCTGCCTTTTCTTCCTGTTTACACCAGGGACCACATTCGGCTTAAGCTTATCGTCCCCGGATGTTTGTACGCTTACCTCTGCTGCCACCTAGTGTATTGGAGTGGGATTTGTCTCAAACGCAAACAAAATGCAGGATGGAGATGGGATGAGAACAAACAAACGTGAAACAAATGAGTCCTTCCCATTGAATGCACTGAAAACCCATTACTAGCATGGCAGGGTGTAAGGCACACAGTACGAACATTTCAAAATTAGCAGGCTCTGTTAATAACATGCACAGACATACACGTAACGCATTTTTTTATTGTTATACACAGATAGAATTACGTGGAATTTCGTTCAGACTCCAGTGGTAAAAGTATTTGGGAACTATTTCCAGAACGAGGCTGAGAGAGAGCAGAGCTGATTTTTCTTGGCAGTCTGGAGCTGTAGCTGTAGCCTAAGCAAAAACTACAAGTATCAACAAGTAATTTCCGGGTTTTGTAAAGTTAGAACTAAAAGTGTAATAGCTATTAAATTATTCTATTTGTTCAATTTCAACATTTCAGTCAAAATATGGCATTACTCAAATTTAATTTGAGTTCTAATTATTTTCGGTCCACAAATCCTCCTCCTTTACTTCCTGCTTTAAATCACTCCAGGACAGATGAGGGCGCTGTGGGAGCCAAAACGAGGAAACTTTTTAAAACACTCAGAACATCGGTTTCCTAGCAACGGAGACCAAACTTGATGTAAACGACCTGTAGCTGTTCACCCGTGACTCAACACTAAAGGATTCAAAGTCATCGTTACCGCTTTAACCGTGAACACACATAGTGTGCATACAGATACATTCAGGTAATCGGTAAGACTTTAAAAGTGGGCAAAGACTGAGAGACGATGAGTGCTGGGCGGGCGTCAGAAGGAGCTGGCTGCATCTCCTGGTGGGGCTTCAGTCCGGCTTTGGACCTTCTTAAGACAGGTAAAATAAAAAAAGGGGGGGGGGGGGGAGGGATGTGCTTAACCATATTAATTCAACAGCATATTTTTCTTTATATATGATGTTTTAGCTACATTAGTCGTTAGCCAACTTACCAAAATGCCCTAGGTAATTTCAGTTTGGATTTAGAAACAAGCAAACAAACAAAAAAAATCTATCGTTATTGTATCTTCTGTATTTCTTTCTCTCTGTACAGGCCCCGTGACGAAACGAGATGGCAACTTTAATGTTCTACTAATCGGCTGTGCAGATCAACGACATATTTTAAAAACCATTTCCGGGTTACAGAACGGCGAAAATCTTAACGTGAGTTAACGTCGAAACATTCAAACTGAAACCCCAAGTTTTACAGTACTGTTTTCCAAAGGCTGTGGCACCTTATAGTACATATATACAAATTATATACATAAACACTAATCATCACTGCCCCAGTGATGAAATGCAACTTGAAACTACACTACAATTTTACAAACTTTAGCGGAGTTAGAGAAGGGTTGACAAACATACGGCCCGTGGGCCAGAACTGGCACGCTTGATGAATTTTAAAAGTAAAATAATGCACCAACGCGTCATGTGTTCGTGATTCTTTGTCAAGTTATATTTTATTAAAAGTGAATATTTTCTAATATACTCGTACGTAGTTGCAGGAAAGGGGAGGATGGGGGGGAGGGGGGAGCATGTACTTATTGTTATTTGTTATTAAGGTTCCATAGTGTATTGGTTAGCATGTCTGCCTTGGCAGAAGAGAGCAGCGAGTCCTGGGTTTGAGACCACATGCTTGATTGTTAATCCTTCTCTTGTAAGTAGTGTAAATGTTATTTAAGGTAATTATGTTTGCCTGTGATACATTTGTGACTGTCTCTCCAGAATGACTGGGACATTTTTATTTATCCATTGTCTACTGTTACTACTTTTCTGCAGATATGGGTTATTGAAAACAGCATGGAGGTGGTGGCCAGACAGCTCCTTCTCCTCTATGTTGCGCTTATGCCAAAGGAAATATTTGGATTTAATGGTGAGTCTGTAGTAGATTTTTTTTGATATATGATGTAAAAGGTCAAATTATGAGCTTGCCTTGTTTGTGTGTGATTGTTCTTTTAAACAGAGAAGACGGAGCTTTACCTAGAAGTGTTTGGGAACAGTGAGATTCGCTGTCAGACTGCAGAGATGCTACGGCGCGCAGCATCGCAGCTTTCCCTGTGTGTTACTGAGTCAATGGAGACACCAACCCATCCTTGTCTCAACACAACTCATCTTAAGGTAGAGTTACATGGATTCTTCTCTGTCCTCAAAACGGACAATATTCTCTGAGACCCTTTCTCTTCTTATTTGTTAGATGATGGATGGCTGGCTGGCTGGATGGATGGATGGGAGGCTGGATGGATGGATGTATGGATGGATGGATGGATGGATGAACTGTATTACCATATTTTCCAGGCTATAAGTCACCAGTGCCCTTTAGCGGCTGTCAGTGTGAAAATAACAAACGTGAAATTATATATTTCATTATATAAGTCGCACCTGAGTATAAGTCGCAAACCCAACCAAAGAATGGAAAAAAAAATGGGACTTACAGTCTGGGTAATCCTTCAGAAAGTTTCATGCAGGAAATTAAGGCTCCAGAAGCATCATAGCAACAAAACAACAGAAATATCACACAAATAGATGAAATAAAATACAATATTTGTTGGGGTTTTTTTTTTATATTTTATTTTAAACTTTTTCAACTCTTTGTACAAAATGGGTATGCCTGGGGAGTGTCGGGGCTTCCAATGTAATATGGTACGTGTGTAACACTGCTGGAATGCTTGAATGATAACGAGCCTCCGGTCACTAGGTGGCAGCAACTCACACATTATTTTCTGTCATGCCCCCTCTTGGGGACAGAAATATTTTCACGCCCCCCCCGCGCCCCCCCTCCTACCCACAGCCCCCAAATTGAAATACTATTGAGAACCTGATAACATGTACTGTATATTTTTTTTCTGTACAAACCACTGCGTAAGTTGCTGCCACCTAGTGGCTGGAGGCTTGTTATCATTCAAGCATTACAGCAGTGGTACACTTATGTCCAGCGAGCCTTATTCCATTGGAATCTACTCCCCCAGGGTGCCCACCTCACTCTTTGAGAAGTACTGGTTTAGAGCAACTAAATTCAAATGTATAATAATGTGTAATAAAGTTCACTAATTATATCTCCAGTTCAGGGAGCAGGATGAGCTGGCTCGTATATTCAAGCTATGGACGCAACCTCATTCTTCAAAATCTCTTTCGGAGGCTTCCGGTCTTTTGCCTATGTCGAAACTCTGGGACAATCGCGTGAGGCAACATCTCGGGACACGATATGACTTCAGGAAAGGCTGCTTTGACTGGGACCTTACAATGAAACTCCATGAGAAAGGGGTATATTCACATTTTTTCTTTTAGCCTCCCAATCGTACTTGTGTGTGTTCGTTCTTTATATTATCCTCATGGAGATTCAGTAGGATTGTTGGAATACTTCAAATTGCCTGGTGTGTGTGTATTTCTTGTCTGTGCATCATACAAAGTATTGCAATTGCATTTTAAAGGCTTTAATCTTGTGAGATTTTGGAGCCTAATCTTTTGGTGACCTACTGTACTCTTCCAGTGTTGTACCATAAATAAACAAGAGTACACCCAATGGAGGGGAAGTGGTTTAGCGTTTGAAATGAGGGAAGGCATCTACCAAGTACCAAATCCCAGCTTGCTGTCGTTTAGAGTGTTTAGTCAGGTAAGTGCAGTGATTCTGTTTTCAAAGTCCTATTTCTTTACTCATAAGGGAACTTGACTCAGGCCACATGTTTACAGGGCGGAAACAAAGTGGCTGCGAGAGGCTACTGGGGTGACATCGTTTCTAGTCCCTACCTTTCCTTTGGCATTAAAACCGATGACAAGAGTCTACTCAAGACACAGAACGGGCAACAAGTAAAGGTAAAAATACTCCAACCACCATGGCACACACAATCTATTAGTCTACCTTAAATATGATGTCAAAATATTTGTTTTATAACCAATTGTCCTGTACCGTACAACACCGTAATCGTCGGATTCTCAGAGGTTTCCAGTGATACCTGAATGCACCTCGTGTGTTTGCTGCAACTTTGCACCTGTTATCAAGCTGCTATTCTCCTGACGCTAGCATTTAGCCAGCAAAATACACAGGTTTTGACCAAAAATAGACCAAAGAAGGGGAGCTACAGTTCATTGTTAAGTGGGAATATACAGAGGTGACAACACATTTGATAATATATTGTTGTTATGCAAACAATTATTGAAAGGTGAATAATAATAATAATAATAATATATATAATAATATATTATATATATATTATAATTAGAAATTATTTTTTATTTTATTTTAAAATACATTATTTTATTAGAAATTATTATTAATTATAATTAATATTATAATTATAATTATATATTATATTATAATAATAGTAAGAAAAATATATATTATAAAAGTTGACAGTTCTTTACATATTTTGTATTAGCATTGTTCGCAGTTTTGTAAAGGGTGTCCCCAGCCTGAAGTTAATGCTGTTTAGGAGGGAGAGGGGGATGGCATGGAAAAGTTTGAAAACTCCCTGGTCTAGGGCACGAAAAACGGCTGGAAACTTATTATGCATCTCAGCATAATTAATTTCCAACTTCAGTTCAGTTCTTGTGTCCTGGTAATGATAAACACATCAGGTATTTAATGAATGTAAAATGCACAAATATCATACAGCAAGTCTGTTTACCTTTTGGACAGAATGGATAGAAAGATTTGTAAGCAAGTCATTTTAAGGCATGTAAAAAATGGCATGTTTTGTAACGGCTTTCCTTTTGTACCCATGGGTATATTCCTTCTACCTAATACATTTTCTACCTCTGCTATTAACATAGTACATGTAAAAATTCTACAAATTCTTCTTTATGATTTGATGTCAATGCTTTCTAAAAATGTTTTGATCATGCACTTCTGGAGGTTCTACCATATTTGCTCAGCTTTTTGGTAACGTACATTCACAATTTGTACATTTTAATGTCATCACATAGTTACATATTTGTATTTATTTTTGCCTCTTTCTTTATGTCGACAGACGGCGCAGGATGTCTCTTATGCAAACGTGCAGATGATGTTTCAGTCTTTGTTAAGCAGGCTGAAGAGCAGCTCCACTTCTCCATCAGAGCCAAAGGAACCTAAAGCACAGACAGACCTCACCATTAATGGTACATCAGTGCTGTTCATCAATCCAAAAAAAAAAAAGTGCAAATAGAATTCATTAAACATTGATCCAAAAAGGGGTCTCTTTGTCCCATTTAAAAAAAAACTTTTTTTATGTTTTATTGCAGACCTGATGCATCTGACTGGGGTCTCTGTTACTTTTCTGCCAATGGATTCATTGCAAAAACTGTCTCAAAAAAAGCAGTACGAGAGCTTGTTTGACATCATTTATCTCTCGGCCAGGTAAGAAAATACACACTTTTTCTATATACAACAAGGAAAATGTTTAAGTGTTGCCTCAGGTAAAACTATTTGTCAGCAGGTTGGGTTTGGGCAGACCCGTTGTACACAGATGACATGAATATTGCTTTTATTTTTTTTACTGTTGGCCTAAGTATATAATATTGTGAATGTCTGCGCTAAAGTAAGGTACCCTGTAATATATTTTACATTATTATATCATAAGATTGATTAAATTCCCTTTTATTTATATTGTAGTATTTTGCAATTATAGCAATACTTAAATAGGCTTTAAAAGCAATATTCAAGGATATTTATAGGCATATTTTGAGTTTTAGTATCGGGCTTTTTTTGCTGTTTGACTGCAAGGGCAAAACTTTGGCAATTTACTTAAGCGTAGGTTGACAAGTGGATGCTATGTACATTGGCTGCCCATAGAGGGCAGTAATGCCCAAGTGTTGCGATTAGTACAAGGCAGTATGTCCTGGGGAACTAATCAATAAAGGAAGTTATGACTACAACTACTCGGTGGTGTTAATTCAAAACCATACATGGTACCAAGAGAAAGACTCAAACATGATGAATAACGTTCGTCAGCCAGAGGAACTAAAGCTGTCTGGTAATGTTGAGGAAAACTGGCGATTTTTCAAACAAAGTTTTGAACTTTATACCCTCGCTATCGGTCTGGAAGATGACGAGAAGAGGAGGATAGCATTGCTGCTAACAGTAGCGGGCCGCGCTGCGCTGGATGTGTACAACACATTTGCCTTCACAGATGACGAAAAGGACAAATATGAAGCTGTAGTAGCAAAATTTGAACAATATTGCACACCGAGAAGGAGTGAAACCTACGAAAGATACGTCTTCCGAAACCGAATCCAAAAAGAATCCGAATCGATAGAACAATACGTAACGGACCTGAGATTAAAGAGTAAGTCGTGCAATTTCGGGACCCTGCGTGACTCAATGATTCGAGACCAAATCGTCGTCGGAGTTCAAAACAACAGAGTGAGAATGCACCTGCTAAAAGAGTTCGACCTTACGCTGGAAAAAGCGATAAAAATATGCCGAGCGTCAGAGTGCGTCAAAGCACAAACACAGTCGTATTACAGCGAAAAGGAGACAATGGAGGTGGATGTCATGCAGAGGGCTGACAAACGAGCCTCGGCGATAGCAGAGGACGCGAGGCAGAAGAAGAAAGGACTTCAGCTGATGGAGAAGCAGAGCGATAGTGAGGAAGAGGATTCACCTGTCTACGTGGGCACAGTAAGAGACGGCGTCTCTGACACCGGGTGAATGGGCACAGGCCAACATACTGCCAATGAAAGACTTTTAGAGACTGAAAACAAGGTAAAAGTAAAAATGAATGAATAATTATCCAAGAGCCTAAGATAATTCAAATATACCTTGTATAGCTACAGTGACAGGGAATGAAAAATCGGTCAATGCAGCTTTTGTTTTGCTAAGGCCAGGCATGGGCAAACTAAGGCCCAGGGGTTGGATGCTGCCCATTCAGCTTTTTAATCCGGCCCATTAAACTTTCCAAATTATATAATTTATATTATTATTATACTTCTGCATTTCCTAGATGGTGGAGAAAATGGTGGAGTCATGCCTTTATGCATGACTTTTACATGTCATTTATCTTAGTTCACACAAACACTCCATCTGTCTGCTACTGACCCAGCCCCCCTGTTCAATTTTAGGACAATTGTGAGTCAAAAAGTTTGCCTGTGCTTGGGTTAGGCTGAATACATGTTTGAAACTGGGCTAATCCAGTTTCTCAATTATTTTCTGCCATGTCCCCCCCGCCCCCCTTAGGGGACAGCCGTTTTTGAGGAGGCTTTGGTTATGACTATTTCTTTATTCTGTTTCCTCCCAACTTCCTGGCCTGCTGTGAAGCTGTGTGCACCATCTTGTCCCAAACATCTCTCAGATTGCAGCACCAGATGCTGTGATTGTCATGGAGCTGGCCAAGTAAGGGGTTCTATAGTAATGTGTGTATTATCGTGGTGGCTTGGGATGTAACAGAGTTTTAAGAATGGATAAAAAAAATCAATACAAATCTCCCTAATAACACCGGGCCAGTTTGGCAAATGCTGATGTGAAGTGTTTTTGTTAGTTTGTTTTTTTGTTTGTATTCTGTTATTTAAGATAATTTGACACGGATCTACAAACGTTTAAGCTTAGTCCCAATGAGTCACTTGGCTGAAATAACTATTTCTATTGTTTATGGATGTGCCACCCTGACATTTAAGAAATGTCAATTGCTGGACAAAGATAGATAGATAGATAGATAGATAGACAGATAGCGATAGATAGATAGGTCATTTGATAGATAGATAGATGGATAGGTAGATAGAGAGATAGATAGGTAGGTAGATAGATAGATAGATAGGTAGGTAGATAGGTAGGTAGATAGAGAGATAGATAGGTAAATAGATAGATAGGTAGGTAGGTAGATAGATAGAGAGATAGATAGATAGGTAAATAGATAGGTAGAGAGATAGATAGGTAGGTAGATAGAGAGGTAGGTAGGTAGATAGGTAGATAGAGAGATAGATGGGTAAATAGATAGATAGATAGATAGGTAGGTAGATGGATAGGTAGGTAGAGAGATAGATAGGTAAATAGATAGGTAGATAGATAGATAGAGAGATAGATAGGTAAATAGATAGATAGATAGGTAGATAGATAGATAGATAGGTAGATAGAGAGATAGATAGATAGGTAGATAGAGAGATAGATAGATAGATAGATAGATAGATAGATAGATAGAGAGATGATAGATAGGTAGATAGAACTTTATCAATCCCTTGGGAGTTCCATTCAGGAAATTTAAAAAAGCTTCTAAAAAAAAAAGATTCGAGAAATTTTAAAAAGCTTTGTGGTTATTTTATAAGTTCTAAAATTATAGATATTAGAAAAAAATGGTTGTTCAAAAGACTTCAAACATAAAATAATAAATATTATATAGAATTTTATTTAGAATTTCCTTATTAAAATGAAATTTTTAGTAGTATTTTTTTTAGTCTGCTCATTTGCTTGGACAGCAGCACCACTTGACACATGGGGGCCACATCAGCAATACCGTTCTCCTTGAAGGGCCGGTTGTAAATGGAAGACTGTATAGATCAGTGGTCCCCAACACCCGGTCCGCAGACCAGTACCAGTCCATAGGTCATTTGGTACTGGGCCGCTTAATTTTTTACTAATTTGCTTCACTCAAAGCAAATCCACCATATTTATTTACTTTCTTTATTTAAAGATAATCTCGCAATATTTTAAAATAACATTTCTTAAAAATTTAGAATGGAAAAAATATATATGTATGAAAATATGTTTTATAGAATAAACTAAAAGATTAGGACTCAATTAGGACACCAAATATATGTTTTTGGTCCCTTGATGTATTTTGTACTATTCTTTCACTAATTTTATTTTATTTTTTTTGCATCCTATAGGTACATTCTGGATCTTGATAAAGAGCAGGAAGCAGGATTTTCCCAAAGAGTAATGAGAATTGCCCTTGATGCTGGATTTGAACCATGGCAAAATAATAGTGACAGTAATGACGATAACGCTCACAGTGTTTTCACACTGCAGCAGAAGAAATAGCGACGTCCTGCTCAGCTTACAATGGCTTTGCATCTACACTCCAGAAAATAAGTTCCTGCTCCTGAAAATGTAAAACATTTTAAAATTGTTTTTGTTTAGATTTTTAGAATTTATGGGACCTGCTACGAACACGCTTTGTGTTGTTTTAACCAATAAAAAACAGTTGTCCTTCATGGGCAGTAGTCCACTGTATAACATCTGTGTATGTACACACATGGTCAAAATTGTTGGTACCCTTAATGGTCACTGGGAAACTTGAAAGTGACAAAAGTCAGTGAAAATTCACCAATGAAAACCATTGTTTTTTAATTGTATTTCAACCGAAATAACAAGTAAAAAATACTGAAAATTCACCAATGAAAACCAGACATTGTTTTTTAATTGTATTTCAACCGAACACTAACTGTACACTACTGAAAGTATAGATACTTTATATATATATTATAACTCCAGTTAGTGGAGTGGAAGTATTCACTTTAAATTTCCACATGGGCAGTATAAAAGTATTTACATTAGTGAAATGTTTCTATTAAAAAGTGCATGCGTGATCCAGTGTCATTAGATAGGTTTCCGATGACGTCACGCTAGTTCCGTAGTCCGCGGAAGTTGTTTGACATAAAGCGATTTGTCACCAAGGTGACGGAGGATAGTTCGACAAAAGGAAGGACGGCTTTCACGTATTAACTGTGCTAATTTCAACCCAGATCCAAGCAAAACGCATTACAAAGTCTGTTCTGAACACTTTATTTTGGGTAATTATACTTTTATTTAATTCATATGTTCAATGTCAATAAAATTAAAATATATCAAAATGTACTTTGCATACATGACAAATGGACACAATGCTGACCACAGTCCATGTCATTATCAGTATTTATTTAGTATCTATGTACATGTACAATCAAACCTTTTATTTTAATGAAGAAAGTAAAAAAATACTTTTTTGTGGTTTTTGGAAAACGTATAATCAATAGTAAAATATGATTTGTAATGTAGGTTGTTATTCTGTTGTGATGTTCACAAAAGACATACTGCCTCTGTGATTTTTACATTATCATGCTGTATTGTTTGGGTGTTAATAAATTCCGATATGTATGATATACATTGGCCAACTTTCAATGTTTGCCCGCTTCCACTCAGCTTTGTTGACATCGTATGTGTCTTTTCCATCGATTATTTTCAACTTGTCCAACTATCTTGCCTTTGTAATTGTGTCTAGTGAATCTCTATATAACAATTTCATCTGATCTTCCTCCGGCGATTTAATATTCTTATCTTTTGTTGTCATTATCGATTGTTTACCTATTCTACCTATTCGCGTCTTTTGCCACACAACATGGCCGACGGCGCAATGCATCATGGGTAATATCGTTAATTGGAAAACCATCTATTTGTTCCATCAGCCCGAGTGGAAGGGAATGGTCACGCAATTCTAGAATCCTGGCCGGACACAATGTCCAGCTCTCGAAAGAGGACATCTGGTCACTTCAGTGATTTCTGCTAGCGCATCGCTGCTCGTTAACTATTTTAGCTAAACACAGTACTGACTATAAAGGTTACATTTAAATAAATGGTTGCTGGTCATCAAACCTAAAATAAGTATCGTATTAACGGAGGGCAAATTATTGAAAGAGGAGGAAAATTAGTTCTTCCTTTTCATCAAATTTAAAAGAGTTTCCGCAAATAAGGTGAGTTTGTGAAAAGTTATTTCAGTGACCATTGTTGGTTTCACCTTTCATTACCCAAGGGGTGCCAACGAATTTTGTCCATGTGTATCCGTGTATTAGGGGTGGACAATACTGGGAAAGTACAGAGCTAGTTTTCTTGAAATCGATACTGGTATTTATTTCTACCTGAAATGTCAAAAAGATGTTTATTATGAGTTAATGTAACAAAAATATGTTCCACTGTATGCAGATATTTGTGAAAAATAAAGTCAGTAATAAAGAGGTTTTTTTGAGGCTTTTATACTGAATGTTTATGTAACTTGGTGGTATTGCCAATGTGGTGATACACTTTCCTACAGAAATCACTTGTTTGAGTACTTTTGCTGGACGTATAGAAGAGAAACTGCGACAAAAGTATCAATCAATGAGCAAAGTCTCCTCGTCCGTGGTGGACAGCTTTTGGCTGTGGCTCAGGAGGAAAGAGGTGATTCGGGGGCCAAACAAACGTGACCGATTCACTTCGACGTAAATTTACCTGCAATAGTCAACCTTAAATATAATAGGCATAATTAAATAATAAACTGTAACTCTAGCTCAAAAAAAGGCCATCAAACTAAGTTAGGAAGCAATATTGACAAATCTAATAGTAATTAATTAACAAGACACCCCCTGGGGCATGATCAACCCCAGCGGGGCCTTCCTAGGGGGAGAGTGTCCAGTGATAATGGCCGAAACACTCGATGACCCCAAGGTCCACTACTGAAGATGTGTCTTACAATAAGATAGTCACTTTATAAGAAACAACCAGCTAATCAGAAAAAAAGCCATAGTCCAGTAAGACACCCCATTCCACCCCATCCCTTACCTCAGCCCCTTCCCATACCCTGAAGGTAAGTAGAAGGACGTCCCCAATAATTCCCCTGCCACAGCCCTAATCCCCCACCCCGTGATCATACCAAGGAAATCACCCTTGAGGTGAGTTGGCACCACTAGTGACACTCGGGCACTAGTGGAGGTGCATCAGGCAGCAATGTCCAGCAGGCAGACCACCACCCTGTATTTTCATATGTATTGAATCCTGTTCTGAACTCTGTTAAGGTGCATTTTAAAAAAAAACAAAAAAAAACAAGGGCAGTTTCTTGCCCAAAAAAAAACAAAAAAAACAAGGGCAGTTTCTTGCCCAACTGTGAAGTGTTAAGACCATTTGCATTGTCTATGCAAAGTTTCTCCATCATTTTACATTCCTCCTGACGAAGGTAGTGTGCTAAACCTGTAGCATTAGGGTGATGGAAGTATTTGTCTAAAAGATTGAAATAAAAATGATGCACTTATTAAAAGTCTTTCATTTAGGCGTGTTGCAGAATATTAGTATGACCCAAAATGGTCACTACTACAATGCAGTTAATTTCAAATACCTTTAATACCTAATATCTAGGATAATCATTTGGATTACAATAAAGCTAGATGCCATTTCTGTGAAAGGGTTTGATCTTCAGTTCGGGATCCGGAGGCTACGTGTTAGGCAAAGTGGTGGAGTTTCGAGCTAGTGACTTTCAGAAATACAGCTCAGGATAAAATGACTCCAAATAATTTGTCTGGTGGATACTTCAGACAAGATAAGAGGATGAGCTTTCATGGAGTGTGAAGAAGAAAATGCTGACATCACTGAGTTCTCCCTATGGCTGAAGAAAGCTAGAGTCAAACAACGCAATTGGCAGTCATCACAAATTCACAAGGATAACATCATAGTCAACAACAACAACATAGTCTATTTATACCAGAAAGGACTGAACACCTTCATAAGCAAATGAACAAAACATTATCAACGCTAAACAAGCCTCTAGTCACTAGATGGCAGCATTGTAGCTCATTTTATTCATCTATTTCAATAATCAGGTAATTGCATGCAGAATGCTGGTTCCTTAGGCTTTAACCCATCACCTTCGTAAGCAGGCGGCACTTAACTTCCCTAACCACCAGGCCACCGCTGCCCCGCTATATCGCTATCGGTTAATATCGCAATTGGTAATTAAGTCCATTATCCGTTACCGGGTCGCGGGGGCAGCAGAAACCTTCCAACAGAAACCTTACCAAACCTTCCTGCGGTGGTGAGTCCACTGGAATGTACCGGGAATTGAACTTGCCCAGGAGGTGAACCCTGGGGTTCCACACCAATGACAGAGACATTGCCTCTGGGCCAAAGCGCCACTGGTAATTAAGTGTTTGGACAATATCGGCATATAGGACATCCCCACACACTGCTGCCCACTGTTCACGTTGGTGATGGGTTAAAAGCAGAGGTCACATTTTGTTGTGTCACAATGACACAATGATCACCAACCTGTATTGTTGGTGATTGTTGAAAAAAAAATTGTTGTTCTAATTTAACTCCTCATTTGGATACCCAGCTAAATACATTTAAATATGCTACTCTGTTGGTCAAATGCAAAGAGCATTTCCATATAGACAAATACAGTGTCACCTTGAACACCGAAATAGAACATGAGTGAGGAGTTAGAAGATACTGAGGCTGTCAGGAAGACACATCCGTGCATCAGGTAAGAGACACATTTCTTTTTATTAGGCGAAGAATCAGAGGAGAGATTGATTATTTATATTGACAAATATATGCGCTATATATTTTTTTTCTCATTTCGTTTTGTTTTTCATTTGTTGCATTTCCAACTTGATTCAAACCACATCATATACAAGTCCACATATACTCTAAAAATGTATATATTTATGTGTAAATATATGTATTAAAAATTTGCAATGTGCAATTTAACTATATTTATATATATATACTGTATATAAACATTTTTTAATTTGGTTTTTTTTTTATTTGTTGCATTTCCAACTTGATTCAAACCATATTTTATGTAAATATATATATACTTTTTTCATTTTGTTTTGCTTTTCATTTGTTGCATTCAAACCATATCATATATAAGTAGACAAAATATATATTTATGTGTAAATAAATATATATTTATATTAAAAAATGTGCAATATATATATATATTTATATATATAATTTTCATTTGGGGCATTTCCCACTTGATCTATATACAACAATTTCTGTAAATATATATATATATTTTTAATAAATACATGATGTTAGTGTGTAACAAAGATAAAGGGAGAAAAATCTATCGTAAACATTGAAAGTCTTTTATAGAATGGTAGCCTTTACAATTTTTAACATGTCACATGTGCTGTGGTCAGTTAAGTAAATGTGGAAATTGCTGCTGTGGAAACCTGTATGTTCACAAATGTCTATTGGATAATAACGTCATTTTACATTTTAGACAAAACATGTTTAAACATCTACTGGTTCTGCTGCTGCTATCGTCAGGTGAGCGAACATTATATAATATGTGTAATTATTTATACACTTAATAATAATCATAATAATGATTTTTTTTTTTTTTTTGCTAAGGTTATCCTGCCGGTTGCATCATTTCGTCTTCATACATTTATGCTGACTATCGCCTAATAAATCAGCGTAAAACATGGTCGCAGGCTCAAAGTTACTGTCGAGAGATGGGCGGGGAGCTGTCTACCGTCAGCGGCATTGATGACATGATGCGGTTGAACGAGGCGACGGGAGTCACAGGGGTGACATCAGAGATCTGGATTGGTCTAAAGGAAGGTGGTGAAGAGTTATGGTTATGGTCCGTTGGAAAAACATCATCGGGTCAGGGCGTGGCCACATACACGCAGTGGGCAATTCCACCCAACTCCACACACCACTGTGGCAGCTTTACGGAACATGGAGAATGGCTGAGTGCCTGGTGTGGAACAGAGCTGCCATTCATCTGTCAGAATGGTTTGTTAAACGTCACGCCCTTAATTTGACAATATTAGAGTAGAATTGTATAGTGTTGATTGAAGAGTTTAGATTGAAGAGGTTGCATGTTACATGTGAACACAGACAGATATCCTTTGCGTGTAGGTTCTATGTCTTTTACCTGTGTATATCTAGGGTCTACACTACAATCTAAACACATACATAATGAATTTCCCAGACCATAAGTCGCTCCAGAATATAAGTCACACCAGTCATAAAATGCATAATGAAGAAGAAGAAAAAAAAAAACATAACATTAAACAGATTATGTTTTAGAGTGCCCTCTAGTGCCTGTCAATGTGAAAATAACCAACATGCAAATTTTCAGTGGTACAGGAGTAGCAGATACTGGTACACAAGCCTAGCGCGCCCTCTAGAGGCTGTTAGTGTGAAAATAAACATGTGAAATTATATATTCTAATAGACAAGTTGCACCTGAGTAGATGTCGCAAACCCAGCCAAAGAATGAAATAAAAGGTGCGACTTATAGTCTGGAAAATATGGTACATATTTGGAAAGGGTTGATTTTTTATTAGAATGATAATTATGTTGGATTTCTGCAGCCAGAAGTGTAAACTGAGTGTAACAAAGAGTCTACTTCTTAGTTAAAGCTAACAGCTACATCCGTCTCTAGCCAATGGTTGTATGTTACTGAGCAGCTAAAGAGATAACGACTCAATTATAACACATTATATAATATCATATTTTAACTGTTTTTCTCCAAATCTTTCGCAGGCAGTCATATGAGTGATGTGACTGTTGTTTTTCAAAATAAAACTTGGACAGAGGCCCAACGCTATTGTCGAAGTCATCACCTGGACTTGGTCAGCGTGTTGGACTCAACCCAAAACCTTGCACTTTGGGACGTGCTTTCTCAGAGTGACCTATCAGCACCGCTATACTGGATGGGTTTGTTTAGAGATAATTGGAAATGGTCAGACAACAGCAACAACTCTTTCAGATATTGGGCGCCAGGTCAACCAAACAACGATGGACCATGTGCGTTGTACAACCCCAGTTTAAGGGCATTGATGGACCGAGGCTGCACTTACCGCATGCCATTCTACTGCTCTCTTGGTATTAGGTTTTAGTCTGATCTATTTCATACGTGATGACAGCATTTATTTATTTACGCTCCACTGACACGAGAGACAAACGTGTTGAAATGACGTCCAATGTTTCTTTTTGACCGCAGAAACGAAGAGAATGACGTCTGTTTCTTTTTGACCGCAGAAACGAAGACGTTCATTGTGAAGACGCGAGTGCATTCGAGTGCGCCCCTGAACTTCAGCGACACCAGAGTGATTGACGCAATTTTGAGCCAAGTAAGAATTCATTTTTACGTGTGTGACTGGATGCGGTAGAGAGCGGGGAAGAATCCTGGGATATAATGCTTTGCTATCAGTCGAGGCTCATGGAATACGAGAAGAACTTCATTGTCATTGTGACATCACGTGAAATGTGACATCTGCATTTAACTCATCACCATTCAACTCATCACCAAAGTCAGCAGGTGGGCAGCTTAAGTGCCCTGGGAGCAGTGTATATGGCTCAATCCGATACTCATGATTGGTGTCGGTCAGATACTGGTAAAAATTTCAGGATGGAACATCGGAAAAAAATTGATGTCCATCCAATCTGATACCTAAGCACGAATGCTCAACTTAACTTTTCGCAACAGTGTTAGCCAAAAAAAAAAAAAACCCAAAACATTGGCGTTTAACAAGTTATTCGTTTGGATATCAAAGCAACACGATATCTCAGAGAAATTGCTTGAGCTTCGTATGTTAACTAGCTTTTTAGGGACAATGTCCCATAACAGGGATAATGTCCCCAAGTTGCAGTATTCGTACTGAACGCGAAAATGTCATACCAAACCACATCTAAAAATTGTAAGGCAGATTATTTTCCTTTGATGAAATGGGCTGAAAAAAAGAGATCTGACTCACTCTAAAAATCCTTTTACAAAACATACCATTAACAACTGCACAGCTCAAATACAAAAAAACAAAACAAAAAACATTCAAGTCAGTGGTATGTAGAACTAAAAAATATACATATTTACATTAAATTGCACCTTTCAAAAACTTCTTTTTCACAGAACGGTTTTGTGCAATCTATGTCGAAGCAACATTTTAAGGGAGTTAGTCGTGTCGAGAATACTTTGTTTTTGCTTTTGAAATGTCTTCTACCCTGACTAACACAGTCTGCCCCTACTGGACTATATAGGAATAATCTTTTATTAAGAATTTTTAATAATACGTTTTTTTTTTTACTTTCAAAGTAGGCCGGTCTTAAATAAATATAGCTTGCCTTATTATTGTAATTGTCATCACTCGAGCAATTGTTACACTGTTATTGTAACTGTATTGATAAAATTGTCGTTATCAGCCCCCCGTAACACAAATTGTTTTGTCACCGCAGAGCCAACGCCGGATCTTGGGGCTTCAGTGGAGGGTCTCATCCATCAAAAAAGAGCTCCCCTAAAATTTTGGGATGAGATAAAACGGTGACACTTGACTTTGAAAACTTTACCCGACACAAGCTGGACACTTAAATGAATAGATTTAGATAAAGAAAAGAAAATCATTTTTACTGTAATTTCTGGATTATTGAGCGCACCTGAATATGGGCCGCACAATAATAAATACATTTAAAAAGAAGAAAATAATTGTACTTCTCTATAAGCCACACAATATAGGCCGCACAAATAATTGTACTTCTCTATAAGCCACAGTCTTCACCGGAGCTAACATTAGCTGCGGTGAACATTAGCTTTATAACACTGTAGCCTCCTTCGAGAGACTACATAAGACATACGTGTCAAACTCAAGGCCCAGGGGCCAAATGTGGCCCGCCAAGCCATTTTGTGTGGCCCGTGGAAACTTGAAAAAAGCATTTAGTAAAGTCCATGCGGCAGAGTTTCTTAACCTAGTTTTTATAATCAATCAAATTAATAATCAATTGCAGAAACATGGATTAGTCTGTTATGGAGCAGTTACATCTATACCAGAGGTTTATGTTCAAAGGACTGGTCAGCCAGTGCCACCCATTACTACAGACCTTGAGCAAGATGGAATGATATATGAATATTATTTTAAACTATTCCCTGAATATCTTTAAATAAAGAAAGTAAATGGATACGATTTTTGGATTTTCTTAGAATTAAGTAAATAAGTAAAAATGAAGTACATTTTTTCCACTGCGTCCCACTGCGACCCGGTACCAAATGACCTATGGACTGGTACTGGTGTGCGGACCAGGGGTTGGGTCACCCCTGATCTATACAGTCTTCCATTTACAACTGGTCCCCTCAAGGGGAACCGTATTGCTGATGTGGCCCCCCTGGTGGAAATGAGTTTGACACGCCTGACATAAGAGATCACGAGAAAGCGTTTTACTATGTGTAAAACAGCGCGTCCTAAATGTTACGTGGCAAAACGTGGTACTGCACTCTGTCCTGTCTCCAATTTTCCCCACGCTATGCCACTGGCCTTCACAGATTAAATTCGCCAGGTTGGTTATTTGAAAGAGAACTAACGACGTCTATTATGATAATGATGCTTTTTATTGCCCCCGTGAATGTAGTGTTTATTTTCAATTTCAAGGTCCTTTCTTCAAATGTTTTAAAACGATCTATTTAGAAAGCGCGATTAGAAATAGCAAAAAACTCTGAAACTGTTTGTTTTCCATCTAATGTTGTAGTTTAGTTTTGTCTGCATTGATTTAAGCTGTGTCGGTAAACCATTTCTTGGGTGACATAAGGAAGTAAACAGATTATTAGAGTTGTTTAAACTGAAAAAAAAAAACCAAAAGACACATTTGTTTCATTCATAACAACAGTGATGTACTAAAGCAAGAACAAACAAAATAAAAAAACAAAGCGGAATAAAAACAATTGGTGTCACAGATAAGTCGTTGAATTCCACCCCCTGAATTCGATCACAACATTGCACTGTGAGCGCTGTCACTAGCAACAAAAAAAAAAAAAAAAAACATGGAGTTTTTATAAACAGTGAAATAACTGCACTTTTTACACAATACACTTTGTAACAGAGCAACACGGGCGAACATGCTGACTTTGTGTCATCAATCATTACACACAGCTCATGTCAACATCTGTCGGCTGTAGTTTAGTAACATGTAAAAGCTTAACTATACATTGAGACTCTAAAGTACAGTGATCCCTCTCCTATCGCGGGAGTTGCGTTCCAAGACCCACCGCGAAATGGGAAAAATCGTGAAGTAGAGGCGAGATAGTTATCGTATTATTTACGTATATATTTATCCTTTACGAACCTCCCCCCCACACTGTTATCAACCCTCCCTAGACTGTATCACCCTTTCCCACACAATTATATCCACAGTAGAGTTGTAGAATGGCGACGCAGAGCGACGTGAACGAGAGAGTGGCCGACAGACAAAAGGAGATGCTGAGAGATGCTACGATGCATGAGCCAATCAGAGTGAGGATCAGAACAGAAGAGCATGCTCAATTAGCCAATAGTACGCTGTGTACGATCTCGTCTAGGTAAACAAAGCTACCAGCGATCGTTCACAAATGCGCTTATAACAATTTCAAAACGAGAATCCACATTTTTAAAAAAAAAATCTGCGATTTACTGAGGGAGTGAAAAGAGAACTGCGATATAGAGAGGGAACACTGTACATCCTTTAAACAATTTAAAAATAAATCTGGGAAAAAAAAAAAAAAGACAAAATGTTGGATCTCAGATAATAGTAAAACTGTCAGCATTTATTTCTATAGAATATATATTTCTAAAATAAGATTTTTTTTTTTTCTCTGTTGGATAGAACACATTTTTACATCGTGTAAGGTCAGGGTGAAGGAGTAGGTTGTGACAATGACTTGTGATTTATGCATCAGAATAGGATGTATATGTAGTTTCAAAGTAGTATTAGCTGTATTAGTGGTACACAATACCAACTCAACTTACGATATGATAAAAATTTCGCCATGTATTTTTTGTTCGCAATACAATTTTGTCATGATTTGTTTTGGAAAAAAAAAATTCCAATTCCAGACAAATTACAACCAAATACAATTATCCTCTATGCAAAATACTGTTACCAACTGAAATCGTCTCCTGTACCTGATATTGTGAAATTAAGAAATGACTGCACGTCACTATTTATCTCCTGTTATTAAAAGTCAAACCGGTCTGATTTTATTTATCTCACTGTCAATATATTAAACAACAACAACAAAAAAAAAATATATATATAAAGTGAAAAGAGTTCCTTTCTTTACAGAAACACCGTAGAACCATGTTTGTGTCTGAGGACGAAGTTTTTCCCCCACGTTCCGTTTGAACACCTGAATGTCACTTAGGCTACTTAGTTTAAGCACGTGTCAAAACCAACATTTTTCAGCGCATACCGCCACCTACTGTTCCAGAGTGTTTAGCATCATAGCATGATAACTGACTTGTTGAAATAACGCTACTACTCCTACTCCTTCCGCCTTGGTGCACAATTACTATTTTTATTTCAACCAATGCGAATTGTACGTACGTATGGTAACGTATGTGTATCGATTTTTTTTAATTAATTGATCCATGACGCATCGTTACATCTCTAATCAAAATACAGGTTGCAAAAATTGTAAAAATTGAAAAAAAAAAAAAAAAGTTATTATTGAAAAATAAACCCCTCCAGTCTATCTGATAATACGGACGATGCTTATTGTGACTCTAAACGACCTGAAACTAAATCGATTTTTTTTTCAATCAAACCCTTTCTGGCACAAAAAAAAAGTATACTTATGTACTGAAATAAGTATAAACTGTATATATAAACTGTGTATATAAACTGAATTTGTACAATTTACGTCAGTTATTACTATTAAATGTTCACCATTTTCCTCTACCATTCCTCTAATACCAAAACACACACCGAAACTGCTGCTTTCGCACGGAAGGCAGTTCATCAGTAAGACCAGTTCAGTTCTACTTTGTTGTCCACCAGTACCTACCTACTTCTCCTTTTTCTCCTTGTGTCGCCCTTCTCCCGTCTTCTTCTTGGACTCTTTTTGGTAGGGGGTGAACAGGTCCATCAGATTGTGCAGGGCCTTATTAATGTGATCGCCAAACTTGTGGGCATCCTTAAATGGCACAATGAATCCAAGGCAATTAATCATGACGAATACACAGAAGTAAAAAAAAAAAAAAAAAAACTACACGTCTTCCTCTTTAAATTGAACTTAGATTACGAACATTGGGTCTGCAGCAAAATACAGATAAATCAAAAAAATATACAGGGGTCCTAGACCTACGACATCCTCAACCTACAAGATTTTAATAGTTAAGTGGCCATCTACCATATATTTATTAAGAAAGTCTTGTTCCGCCATTGCGACATACGGTGTTAAAACAAAGTAGGAAATAGTTAAAATGCTAGTTGTCGAGCGGCTCAGACAAATATGTCTTCAGGCTGCACTATACGGTACAGTGAAACCTCGAGATACGAGCATAATCCGCTCCAAGACCAAGCTCGTAACTCGAGGTGCTTGTATCTCAAATCATTCTTCATCTATTTTTTTTTTTTCGATTTGTATTGTATTCGATTTGCACCACGCTCATATTTATCGTCAATTTTCAAAAAATTTTTTTTAGGCTTATTAGTACCATCCTTACCACTCACTTTCTTAGAACTCATTACTATTACGAAAAATAATGCACAAAATAGAAAGAAAAATCACGTACTGTAGATAACGCAAACACAATATGGAAGAATTGCAGGAGAAGTCGACGAACACGTGAAGCGAACGAGTGAGGCGGCGTGGGCTGCTCCGAGTTCTCGGAGCACCTAGCATCGGTGTATCTTAAATCTTTACTCGTATCTCAGAGCCAAAAATTTGCACAAAGGCAAATGCGAGACAATGGGACGCTCGCATCTCAAGGTTCCACTGTACGCAGAAGACGGCTTTGTTTACATTTGCGGTTCTGCTATACGCTGGAATTTGCTACATTCACTTTCTTTCATTTGTGTTGTTTTTTGGGAACTTTTTACCTCAGACTCTTCTGAGGATTTATGTCCTATATTATGATGTTACCACTGTGTTAGCATAGGCGAGTGACATACTGTATGTACAGTGTGAGTTGGGACCAAAAAATCCAGTTACGTTGCACCATAGTAATGATATCCTGACGTAAGTTGAGGACCCCCTCTATGTACAAAAAACTACCCCGTAGGTGGTTCACACATCAAAACAGCAACAGCAAAACAACAGCTTACTGTGTCTGGACAGGAGTGTTTGCATGAGATGTGAAAGTTGATCATGGTTCCTCCCAAAATGCAGTAGGAAACTCCATAACCATCATCAGCCACCTAAAAAATATGAAGCCAAAATTTACACTTACTTTTTTTTGGAACTAACAAAAACAAAAAGGATAATCTTTATGGAACAGAAATATGACAAGGTACTTACTGGTCCAAAGCCTCCTCCGCAAGAAACGTACTCCGGGTGGTTGACTACGTCGAAGAGCTCCGGCTGCTGGACAGGAGTGTGACTGGTGGACAGACGCCATTGCTCGGCCAACACCTGTGTCGGTAGGCCGGATCACACGGCACCTTTAGGTGAGTTGCATCCTTGACATTCAAAAGTCTGAAGCTAAGTTGACAGTAACACCACCGACCTCTTTCAGGAACGGGGATTCCACTCCGAGGTATTTGGACACTACGTGAAGGCAGAAAAGGTGCCTGTCCACACCGGCTCCAGTCATGGCCATGTGGTGAAGCAGCTGATGCTTCTCCGCCGCTGTGTGAAACAAACGCCTGCACACATCTGCTGACTGACGGACAGAGGAAAGTACGGTTGCCATGGTCTCATCTCTCAAGGTTAAATCACACATGCTGTCTGGTTCAATTCGAAAAGGAAGTTCCCGCGATTATTAGGGCAGTAACAGTATGTGTATTTGAACCAAATCTGATAGTATTGCAGAGGGTTATTTTTAATTCTTGCTCTCGCTTTTGCCATCTGCCAACTGAAGTTGCCAATGCTAGTCACGTTTAGCCATGGGGGCCTGAGCAGAGAAACTTTGGGAACCAATAAATTAGGGTATTGACACTGATGGAAAAGTTTTTTGTGTGCAAACGCACTCTATGATCTCTGATTAGTTTACGTTAAGAAACAAACAAAAAAAAAAAACCAAAAACACCAAATATATGCGTATTTAAAAACTGGTTCGTTTATATTGTGTCAACTTACCTCTCCAGCCTCCAGTGCTCTGACAAAAGAAGAACTCTCACTGGTACAGCAGCGGACAGTCTCCGTCCGGCCCTCTCTGAACAGACGCGTCATTGAAGCTTTATATGTCAGACAAAATCTCATACGGCTCTGGAAACACAAACCAGGTTCTTCAGGTGTCTTGTCTCAAACGGGTTGTTGCAGAGCAGTAATACCAGTAATTTAGTGATGTCAAGTACTTTATTTTCTGGACTATAAGTGGCACCTTTTTTCATCCTTTGGCTGGGTTTCCAACTTATACTCAGGTGCGACTTCTATATAAAAATATATAATTTCACGTTTGTTTATACTCAGGTGTGACTTGTATATAAAAATATACAATTTCACGTTTGTTATTTTCACACAGCCGGTAGAGGGCACTCTAGGCTTGTGTACCAGTATCTGCTACTTCTGTACCACTGATAATTTAGATGTTCGTTATTTTCACACGGCCAGCCACTAGAGGGCACTCTAGCCTTGTGTACCAGTATCTGCTACTCCTGTACCACTGATAATTTACATGTTCGTTATTTTCATACTGACAGCCGCTAGGTTCTATTGTGCTATCCGACTTTGATCACACACTAATTTTTTCATTTGTTTTGATAGCCGTAATAATATACTTCCTTATACACAGAAGTGGAAAGAAAGAAATTACATTCACTGAAGTTACTGTAATTGAGTGGTTATGGTAATTTGTAATTTTTAAGTAGTTTTGGGAATAGGTCATTTTACTTTTACTTTGACTCGAGTGTTTTACTGAGTAAATAATTAAATGCAGGGAAAAACAATCTGTGTTAACTAAAAGAAAATTGTGGAGCAGATGAGTCGGAAAGAGAAAAATAAAAACCTTGACCATATCTCAGCTGGCTGTTTGTTTTCAAATGTAAACAAGGCCATAACTTTATCATGCAATGCAAAATGTTCCTGCCCCTGCGGACAGAGGGGCAGGAACATTTTGAATTTGAATTTGCAGTACTGTAGAAGCGTTCAAATGAATCATAGAATTCTCAACTTAAGCCACTTGTATTGTTGATAAAAAAAACAACTAGTTGCAGATTGGATGTATAACACCTCCTTTTTTGCAAATATTTAGTAAAAAGTAACTACCATAATTTCCGGACTACAAGCCGCTACTTTTTTCACACGTTGAAAAAATGATGCGGCTTAAACAATGATGCGGCTAGTTTATGGATTTTTACGGGCTAACGATGTTCATACTGCTAGCAATCCACGACTTTTCTATATAGAGAAGTCCGGCCTATATATGTACAAATACTTTTTTTTTTTTAATTTAGTGGGTGCGCTCGATAATCCAGAAATTACGGTAATTTAAGCAAAGTAAAGTACATACATTTACTTAATTTCAATTTTTAGTACTGTAGCACCTCTGCTTACCCTATAGTAGGCCAGCTGAAGAGCCATTTGAACGAAGGCATCAGGACTGACTTGACACTTTTTTATCTTGTCCTTGCCAAAGTCTTGGAAGGAGAAAACATGCAAGTCCACATCATCGGCCAAAGCCTGGGCCACTGCCAGGGACTTGGCGATTTGTTCTTCACACTGAGACAGAGGTGAGAGGGAACATCAGATGGAAATGTCATGGTAAAAAATATATATTTGGTGCCACGTACTTCACTTGATTTTCCACACAAAAATTTAAAATAACATCTTGTCCAGGTCTTTCAGTCTCTTCTTCACACTTCCCAGGAATGAACACAAATTGAATCAGACAGATTAATGAAACAAGAACAGCCTTTATCATCATTTTTCTGTGTGGAAATTGCTCAACAAAATTATGAGTGGTTTTAGCCCAATATACAAAATCTTACTAAATAAGATTTTGTTTTCTGAGAAAAATAAAATAACATAAAGACTATAGCAGCGCACTGGTGGCCTTATAGTTAAGGTTAAGTGCCGCCTGCTCACTATGGCGATGAGTTAAAGCCATGCCTCCCCCTAGGGGACAGAGGTTTTTTCACCCCTTCCCCAAATAGAAATATTTTTGATCATGTGGTCATTTTTTTTTTATTTATCTGTACAAACCACTGCATGAGTTAATGGCGCCAGCATTCGGCATTCAATCCCCTGATTATCAACATAGATGAGGTTCAATGCTGCCATCTAGTGACTAGAGCAGGAAAGAGGTCACATATAACAGTTACTGGCTTGGAAGCAGTAGGGGATCGGGAGCCTTTTTAGCAAAGAGCCAAAAAGGTCACATACTGTATAACAGTTACTGGCTTGGAAGCAGTAGTGAGGAGGGGTGTGTATGAGGAAAAGAGGAGGGTGTGAGAGGAGGAAAAAGCGTTTTTGGAGAAGTTGGGTTGAGCACAATTAAAGAATGGATGGGTTACTGCAATTTTGTTGTGCATCTGACTTTTTTCATCTGTCGCCGGGGCATTAAACTATTTTTAGAGCACACATCATTTCGCAAAACCCAGGCATTGCATTATCAGGTTTCCAATATAGAAAGAAAACCCGATAACGAATATTATATAATTATGGTAATATATATTATCTGTCGGCCGATATTATCGGACATCCCTAGTATAAACAATTGGAAAATATGTCAGGTAGTAAAAGTACGTATGTTTTCCCAGTTTTTTGCCAGTGAAGGCATTGACATTAAGGCGATAAGAAGTCTGTCACCATGACAATGGAGCGAGGGCGAGAGAGAGAGGGAGAGAGGCAGGGATGCTACCATTTTTGTGACTGATGCTTAATATATTTATAATTCACCTGATGGTGAGTGCGGTTGAAGTGATTGTCAATTTCCAAGTGTCAATTAACAAGTCAAACATCGAGCGCTACAAACGTATGCATCCCAACTGTCCACATTTTATTAACTTGGAGATGTTTTTTTTTCCGGAATATTTGTGTCAGGAAATGCACTTAGTATTGTATTATATTGCAACTCAAGGTTTGAATTTAGAAAATGTAAAAAGCCCGAGAGGATTGTTGTCTTGGTCGGCATATGCTGAAGGAGCACTTACTTCTGGAGGGATGTCCCAGCTCAGCCTCTGCGGTCTTGGTAGTGACGGATCCACATCTCCTTTGCAGTGACCTTCTGCATTGTAACCCAGCTGGAAACAGTCAGTGGCTAAAGTGTACTGAAAACATACAATTACCAAAGAATGTGTTAACCAATAAAAGTGACGTTCTGACCCTTTTCTTTACAGCAGCAAATATTATATAATAATAAATATAATAAATGTTATTTATTATATGTCTACAGTCTGAATGGGCAATTTGTGTGATGGACAGAGATGATAGCAAATTTAAAAAAAAAAAAAAAAATTCATCATACTGATGATACTCGCTAGTCACAATCTAGCTCTTACTGGGGATGTGATGTGTTAAAAATTAATATTGGACATCACTTGCTCTTACCACTTTGGTATATTGTGATAAAAATGAAAGTCTACATATCAATCATCATCATTTTTTTTTGGTTCATTTCCATACCTCCCATAAGTGTGAAACCACTGGCGCGTCTGCCCACGAGTGCTCCGAGTTGATGCCGTTCTTCCCATTCTTGTAGTAAATGACTGAGAAGGATTTGTCGAACCACCTGGAAAGCATGATCGCAGCTGAACAGATGCCAATATGATTTGTTTCTATAGATAACCTTCACTGTAAAGAGCACTATAAACGTACCTATTGTACAATTTGCCATGCAATAAGGATTTGGCGTAGCGGTCCAAACTTTCCGCAGGATTGTCTTTCAATATGCCTTGATTATCATCATCCAGGGTCACAAAGAAGGCTGCTCTCTCGATGCAATGCAACGACTGTCTGTTTATTCCACTGCCGAAATATTTGTGCCTAGCAGTAGCCCATGAGATTCTTAGGCACACAAGGGAGAAGGGTAAACGAGATGGAATTAATGACACAACAGGCTTCGTTGAACGTATGCATTAATGACAAGTGGCTTCTCTGGCTGACCTGTTTCCAGCAGTGAGGGCCCCAAGTTTGGCTTCTCCTTTACAGGGGGGTGATGGATCGTCAAGGATCCTCTGGATTTGGAATTCAATTTCTCTTGGGGAAAGAAGACGGCCTGCCTGGTACACTTTCAGGCAATAGTAGCAACCCTTGTGGTATATTGCTATATAGTCGCTGTCCTCCCAATGTTGCACAGTGTCTTCAAGAAAAAGAAAGGAAGAATACAAACTTTGATCTTTTTAACTTCGTCTATTAAATACTGACCAATTAGAAAAGCCTCCACACACTAGATGGCAGAGCAGGCTTTATTATCCTATTTTAATAATCTGGGGATTGTATGCAGAATTCTGGTGCCAGCAACTCTTACAGTGGTTTGTACAGATAAATAAATAAGTATAACCAGGCGCTCAATAGTATTTCAATTTGGGGGCGAAGACATGAAAAGAATTCTGTGCCCCGGGGGGGCGTATGGATGAAAAGAATTGAAAAACACTGCCTTACAGCAAGTACGGCAAGGGTTAAAATTTTGATTTCCGTGAGAAATGTCACCAAAGTTGAAACGTATACGCCACCTGTTAACACGCCGGGTATTCGACAAGTGTCAAACATCCGCTCAAACTGACTGGAACAGCAGGGAACTGCAGATCTTAACAGCCACTAAGCAAGACAGAAAGAAAAGCAATCACTGCAAGTAGGCAAAAGAAGAGGTGTCATAAGAGAAAGACGACTAAAATATTTGAGTTCTGAAGGAAAATAATAATGAAAGTAGAGATATAGGAGAGAAGAAGAGAATTTTTTTAAATCATTAGTTAGGACATTGATTCCAGAAAACTAGACAGACCAGGGGGGAAGATCAGAAGAAAGGAAAAGAATAGTAATGATGAAGTGAGAAGTGAAAGGCGTCTATAGTGACTATCCTGCCCTCTTATCACTTGTTTATGGATGTGGGAGTCAAAAAGAGTGTTTTTTGATGCACTCTCAACAAACAATTGTCCATGCATTCATTCACGTTTGGGTGACGTTACCTTGTAATGATGAAAAAGGTTACAACAAAAACAGGATTGGCCTACACTGATACAACAAAAAGGAAAATAAAAAGTTGGCGTCTATTAAATACTGACCAATTAGAAAAGCCTCCACACACTAGATGGCAGAGCAGGCTTTATTATCCTATTTTAATAATCTGGGGATTGTATGCAGAATTCTGGTGCCAGCAACTCTTACAGTGGTTTGTACAGATAAATAAATAAGTATAACCAGGCGCTCAATAGTATTTCAATTTGGGGGCGAAGACATGAAAAGAATTCTGTGCCCCGGGGGGGCGTATGGATGAAAAGAATTGAAAAACACTGCCTTACAGCAAGTACGGCAAGGGTTAAAATTTTGATTTCCGTGAGAAATGTCACCAAAGTTGAAACGTATACGCCACCTGTTAACACGCCGGGTATTCGACAAGTGTCAAACATCCGCTCAAACTGACTGGAACAGCAGGGAACTGCAGATCTTAACAGCCACTAAGCAAGACAGAAAGAAAAGCAATCACTGCAAGTAGGCAAAAGAAGAGGTGTCATAAGAGAAAGACGACTAAAATATTTGAGTTCTGAAGGAAAATAATAATGAAAGTAGAGATATAGGAGAGAAGAAGAGAAATAATTAAAAAAAAAAAAATCATTAGTTAGGACATTGATTCCAGAAAACTAGACAGACCAGGGGGGAAGATCAGAAGAAAGGAAAAGAATAGTAATGATGAAGTGAGAAGTGAAAGGCGTCTATAGTGACTATCCTGCCCTCTTATCACTTGTTTATGGATGTGGGAGTCAAAAAGAGTGTTTTTTGATGCACTCTCAACAAACAATTGTCCATGCATTCATTCACGTTTGGGTGACGTTACCTTGTAATGATGAAAAAGGTTACAACAAAAACAGGATTGGCCTACACTGATACAACAAAAAGGAAAATAAAAAGTTGGGGTTTTTTTTACTGTTGTACACCATATTCAGTAATAGTATTATTGTGCTGATGCTTTGTTTTCAAACGTTGTATAGCACAAAAATGCTACGAGTTATACCATAGATGTTCATCCAAGGTGAATATTCCCCGAGTTGTTTTGGCTTTGGCTACGGCCCGCAGAAGCATATGTCTATGTCTATGTCACTCTAGAAATTAGAAGAGGGTAAACTTACAGGTTTAATCTCCTCCTTGTTGAGCTTTTGACGATAGAGAAAGAATGCGTGGATGCTATTGCCCGCCCTGGCTGCTTGAATTGGTGTAGGTGTCACAAACAAGTCCTGAGGAGAGAAGAAACAGGCCAAGACAATCAAGCAGAAGATTAATGTTTTATGGTCCAGCAACATCCACAGATTTAAAAAAAAAAAAAAAGATTTTATTTAAGTAGATTTGAAACTGAGACCTACTTCAAGGGTATTTAGTAATACGAAGAGCTACTTGTTTGATACAAAACTTCCCGAACGTTAATAACGTAATACGTTAATACGTTCAATAATAACCAGTATTATTACAATATTATTATTCGATATTCATTTTACACAGCCTTCAACCAATCTGTTTTCTGCCAGTCTCTTGTTAAATATTTGCAGAATTGGACAAAATGCTGCGCACCCCCTACATTGGGAACCCCTGGATTAGACAGACATAACATAAACACAAACAAAAACATGAAAACACAGCACAACAGACATGGTTACAGGCATTTATTAGTATAAAACTGTGGAATGATGTAAGTGTGATAGTCTCACTGGTAGGACACCTAGCATATTGATGAATGAAGGTTATGAAGGTTAGCCAGTGAAGTTCCACATTGCTAAATCCCCATAAAAAAAACAGACAACATATTATCTGCATGCGGTTTCACAGGCATTCCCTTGATTAACATAGGGATTCTATCTATCTATCTATCTATCTATCTATCTATCTATCTGTCTATCTATCTGTCTATCTATCTGTCTGTCTGTCTGTCTGTCTATCTGTCTGTCTGTCT